CTAACAAAGTCAACTTTAGAGGGTTGTGAGATAAGATGAGCCTATATGTGTAAATTGCCCTGAACATGGCATACGCCCAGGTGATTGTAGTTATCACTGTTTTTTGATGTTCTTATCTGCACGACAGAATGTATTGTGTGCAGATGCACAGTCTCATCTCTTGAACAGTAAATTAATAAAGTCGTCTTCTGGCTTTTTAATCAGCCTCTCAGTGCCTGATAAGTTTTGCAAATACTGATAATACTAGGTTCCAGTCCTGACTCAGTAAGGACTCTGGTCTCTTAGAGCCTGGATTCTAAGAGACCAGGGAGTAAGGTATTTTTGTGGTTGAGGTCACAGGTTCTTGAGTCAGAATGCCTGAGTTCATATCTCAGGTCTGCTACTTAGAGACAGGACAGTCTCCCTAAGCCTAAATTTCCTCATCTATAGAATGGAATTAATGATAGTATCTACCTCATAGGAATCTGATGAGCGTTCAATGAGCTAATGTAATCTTCACATTCCTATGGGTGGGTATCATGAATATCAATCAGCATTTGGCAGAAGGGGAAACTGACATTTAGAGAGGGGAGATTATTTGCTTTACATCAGAGGACTAGAAACTGACAGAGGCAAAACTTGTATCCAGATCTATCCAGCTCCAAAGCCTGAGTTCTTAACCACAGTCCACCATCCAAGTGGCCATCCAAGTGGCCCTCCAGCCTGTAGCACTGGTCATTTAGCTGAGTAAATCCAGGTCCTTTCATATACTTTAAGGTGCTTGAGGGAAGAAATTATGCATCTTATTCATCTTCATTATCCCTTCAGCATCTAGTCCCATATTTTATTGATTGAAATGTTTCTTAAGCCAATGGTGAATGGCTGACAAAATAAATGAATGCACACATGTATAAAAATAAATCAAAGAGATGCTTATTAAGAAAATAGGGTTCAAAAATATCCACAATCAAGAAGGGTTGGACTTAAGAAGAGGAGGAGGAGGAGAAAAATAAGGAGGAGGAAGAATAAAAGGCACAGCCAAAGGCCATTACAATCCTTGCAGAGAAAACGGTAGAGGAAGATAACCCTGCAGGTTAAGGAAGATGCAGGGGGTGAGGAAGAAAAGCCTGAATACAAAAGCAGCAGCAGGAGCAGATCACTTATGGGAAAGCTATTCCTACAAAGGAAGGTGTTATGAAGAGCTGTCACTAGAAAGGGAAAAAGTCAAGTGAAGAATTGCATTTGCTTTTTATAAAATAGGATGAACCTGATTATGTTGACAGGAAGAGAGGATTAACTTCCATACAGAAGAGAGATTAAGAGTTCTGGAAGGGAAAGTGATCATTACAAAAATAAAGTCCCAGAAGAGATAAAAGGAACTGGATCTAGAGTTTTCCAATCTTTGGGTTACAAGCCAGTATTTTGGGGATGGGATGGGGTGGGATGGGATGGGACAGGATGGGAAGGGACAGGACGGGACAGGATGGGATGGGATGGGATGGGATAGTATATTAGTCAGGGTTCTCTAGAGGGACAGCTAGTGGGCCATCTTTTAATCCATATTTCAGCTAACCAAGCAAATAAACTATTAGAACCTTTTTTAACTCTCTGAGCTACAACATTAAATGCAGAGTCCCTACTTAGTGGGCCCAAGTCAATAAATTCAGCCTTAACCACTCCATGTTCCTTCCACCATTATCCCATACCCTTAATATCCATCACCATGCCTGTTCTCCAGATTTCTGCTTATATAAATTAGAAAAATCAAGCAATTATTTTCAAGTGTAGTGTACCTTCTCATGGGTCACACTCTCAACCTCACCTCCAGGGGCCTGCCGGGACTTTAGTTGAGTTATAGGTCTAGAAGCAAACAGAGGTGTGGGGGTGGCTCCTGAGGAGAATTAACATTATCTTGCCTGGCAACTGCCTCAGGGGAGGCCATCACTGTTGCCTCAGGCAGTTCAGGGTTTATCTCCTCAGACAAAGGTGGGAAGGTTGATGGCAGCATGGGTCGGGCAGGGAGGGGATGTTGTCACCACTGGGGATGGGGAAGCTGGTTTTTTTTTTGTTTTTTTTTCCCCATTTATTTGTTTTATTGCATTTTAGGTTTTGGGGTACATGTGAAGAACACGCAAGATTGTTGCATAGGTACACACGTGGCAGTGTGATTTGCTGCCTTCCTCCCCATCACCTACATCTGGCATCTCTCCCCTTGCTATCTCTCCCCAGCTCCCCACCCCCCACCGTCCCTCCCCTATTTCCCCCCAACTGACCCCAGGGTCTAGTGCTCCCCTCCCTGTGTCCATGTGTTCTCATTGTTCAACACCCGCCTATGAGTGAGAACATGCGGTGTTTGGTCTTCTGCACTATAAGGACATGTGCACATGAATGTTCATTGCAGCACTGTTTACAATAGCAAAGATCTGGAACCAACCCAAATGCCCATCGACGATAGAATAGATAGGGAAAATGTGGCACATATACACCATGGAATATTATGCAGCCATCAAAAACGATGAGTTTGTGTCCTTTGTAGGGACATGGATGAACCTGGAAACCATCATTCTCAGCAAACTGACAGAAGAGCAGAAGCTGTTTCCTCTGGCAAAAATGTTTCATCAGAGTTTACAAACTAAGTGTCCCCAGCTTCATCAGAGCCCTCCCATGCATCCCCATTCCAAGTTACAGGGTCCCACTATTTCCGGTCAATGTCCTCACTTTAACAGTAGGTACCTGGCGAGGCTGTGCATGCACCTTTCATTGCAGATGAGTCACTCACATGATAAGAGCTTGTCTGTTTTTCTGCAATTTCAGCTCTTTCTCCATAGGAGATAAGACTCTCACTCAGGGCAATCTTAGCAGATTTGAGGCTCAATATCTACTTCTGAAGCTGGGAGTTAGAAACCCAGGGTTCATCATTTTCTCATCACTTTGTCCACTGAACTTAGGAGCAGCCTACCAGCTTCATTATATTTCTTGGTTCTCCACATATGGTCAAAGGTACTTTGTATAGAGTCCCTAAACTCCTTGCCGCTCACAAGTGTCAAATGCATTTATCTTGCATAACTCTCTGAACAGTTCATGCCAAGGACTGTCAGTGTTCTCCATACTATTAGAAGTACAGAGGTCTTAGCGTTTTTGACCTAATCATATTAAGCAGCCAACTCCAGAAAACGCAAAACCAATGAAAGAACTCCATCCTTGATATTCTGTTCCTCTAGAACCATTCCTGGCACCAAAATCTGTATTAGTCAGGGTTCTCTAGAGGGACAGAACTAATAGGATGGAGATGTATATACATATATCCCCTTTATATGTATATGTTGTGTGTGAGGTATACTTAATAAATTCCCCTTTTTTTATGTGTGTGTGTGTGTGTGTGTGTGTGTGTGTGTGTGTGTGTGTGTGTAAAGGGGAGTTATTAAGTATTAACTCACACAATTACAAGGTCCCATGATAGGCCATCTGCAAGCTGAGGAGTAAGGAGAGCCAGTCGGAGTCCCAAAACTGAAGAACTTGGAGTCCAATGTTCAAGGGCAGGAAGCAACCAGCATGGGAGAAAGATGTAGGCTGGGAGGCTAGGCCAGTCTAGTCTTTTCATGTTTTGCTGCCTGCTTTATATTCTAGCCATGACGGTAGCTGATTAGATGGTGCCCACCCAGATTGAGGGTGAGTCTGCCTTTCCCAGGCCACTGACTCAAATGTTAATCTCCTTTGGCAACACCCTCACAGATACACCCAGGATCAATACTTTACACCTTCAATCCAATCAAGATGGCACTCAATATTAACCATCACAGATGGGATGGAAATTATTGGAATGCCTCACATTTTAAAAGGCTTGCTCAGGCCAGGCATGGTGGCTTACGCCTATAATCCCAGCAATTTGGGAGGCTGAGTAGGGTGGATCACCCGAGGTTGGGAGTTCGAGGCCAGCCTGACCAACATGGAGAAACCCCATCTCTACTAAAAATACAAAAAACCAGCTGGGCGTGGTGGCACATGTCTGCTATACCAGCTACTTGGAAGGCTGAGGCAGGAGAATCGCTGAAACCCAGGAGACAGAGGTTGCAGTGAGCCAAGATCACATCATTGCACTCCAGCCTGGGTAACAAGAGCAAAACTCCATCAAAAAAAAAAGGGGGGGTGCTTGTTGTTTATTTCATGTATGTACAGGTCATGATGTAAAGCCTAATTTTACTGTGAGTCAGGGTCAAAATATGTTTGAAGCAGTGGTCATTGGTGGAAAGGTTAGATTTAAGTTCTCTAGGACAATCTCACTGTACTGTTAGCAATGGTGCTAGATGCCTGTCCCGACCAACTACAATTCAGATAAACCCACCCATCCCATCTTCTTTTTTCCCTCCTCTTCTCCCTTTCCTTCCTTTCGTCCTTTTTTTTTTTTCCTTCAATAAACACTTATTGAGCATCTGTCTACAGCCTACCATTCAGCTTTCTGGGCTCTGGGCACACTCCTATCCTCACAGGGCTTCTAGTACAGCACTTACTATCCAGTAAGAATGACCTCTGGGTACCCAAGACTGTTCAGAGCACAGGCCTGGGCCCACTTTTCTAGTTCTTGCTTTGCAACTCAATCCCGGACTCAACTTTGCCTTCCCTCTCCTCTCATCTCTGGATAACGAGATGGTATTACTATGGCTCTAAGCCCTGCTCCTTTCCTCAAACATACTTACCCTCTGCCTCATCTGATTCCATCTCAACCTGGCCCTAGCCTCAGCTCCCACCTAAGACTCACCCACATGCCCATGCTGCTGCCCAGCCTGACTGAGCCGCCAGGTAGTGACGCAGCCTTCTTCCCCCACCTCCAGGTAGTGAAGGATGTATCCCCCCCACACATGCAAAAGCATCGTGTCTCAAGCAGGTACCAGGAGAATGTAAGTACCCAAGTGAACTTCACTCTTGGCAGGACACCAAAATTCTTGAGAGGTGCTCTCAGTTGTGACTTGGCAAAGCCCCTGAAGATGGGCAGGGTGGTGTGCACACCACGTTGACAGGCTTACCCTGCATGGGCAGCTGCAGTATTTGGCCATCCATTCAGGTCAGGTTCTTGTTTTTCCAGTTTTCTTCCATTCCACACACATCCCTTGTGACTGTGGTTTTTACTTCAGGCATTCAGATGCACAGTCTTAAATGTGGCTTCTTGCATTGAGCTAATTAAAACAAGAGAAAACTTTCTGCTGCAAGATTTGTGAAGGTAAAAGTCTACAAAATTTTCAATATTTTAACATCACTGGAATGGGAGAAGAGCACAGCTTCAAAAGGGCCTGAGAAAACAGCTATTTCCAAAGCCCTCTTTTATAGATGATCACACTGAAGTTCATGAGGTTAAGAAGTGCACCCAATGTTAATAGTTCATGGCAGCTGAGATGTTCTGTGAGAAGCCTCAGGGGTGACTAGGGAAGGAGAGAGGGGCTCAGGAGCTGGCACTCCGCACCCATTTCCTTTTCATCCAGAGAAGCTCTGCTTGTACCTGTTTCACATGCCAGCTTCTGCATGAGAATTAGTTGGAAAAGAGCTTCATCACTCCAGTAGCAAAAAAGCACACACACAAAATAGCATACTATGCCACAGCTTTTATGACATGAAATTAGACCCCATTTACATAAACAGGAAAAAAATACTCCTAGAAGATGTCAAACTCCAGTTAATGATATCCGTGCTGTTTCACCAGTTAAAGGAAGTTTACTGATGCCTGCGAGCTACCTTGAAATGTATCCCAAAAGTAAGAGGGATGAATGGATGGATGGATGGGAGGATAGATACACGGGCAGACTGGCAATAAAGCAAGCAGCAAAATCGTAGTGGTAGGATTTAGATGGTGGTTGGGTTTGAAGGTGTTCTTGGTAGAGTCTTACAACTTTTCTACTTATTTGAAAATTTCATAAAATGTTGAGAGAAAAAATTGACACCAGGTGCACACGCCCCAATAAGTGTTTCCTTACGTTTTACTAGCTGGTTAAAAAACAAAGGAAATGAATATTATGTCTGTGCCACCTTACTGCTTGGCCAATCTTGTTATCAGGAGAAAACAGAAATAACCGATGTGATCGCTTTGGGAAAGTAAAACACTACCTCAAATATTTTGCCAAATTAATCATTTATTAACCATCTTTTAATTACATAACTCTTTGAACTTCTAAGAAACTGCTGGGTCTAACTGAAGCCTCTCAGATTTCCATGGTGTACTAACCTTTGATAAGTAATTAAATAAGATCTTTTACACACGTTGCTTTGTTTGAACCAGGCAGTTCTGTAAAATGTATAGGAAAGCTTTGTCCCAACTTTGCAGATGATACGACTGAAGCTCCAAGACCACACAGCCGCCATCTATGATCACACGGCTGAACCTGGAAATAGAGCTCATCCCTTCCAACTCCTGGGGAGGGTGATGATGGCAAGAGGAGGGAAGAGTCGCTCCACTGTGGCATCCATGAAGGCCTTCAGTATGAAGAAATGTAAACAGCAAGACTGAAATGGACACGTTGATGGAACGATCTGATCGGGTCTCGTGGTTAAATGTCTTTGCATATTTCCTTCTTAACTTTTAAAGTATTACTTTATCTCTTATGGATAACCATTTTACAGTAATTGTTTTACTAATGTTTGCATCAGCACTCACAATTGTCTCCATTTCGAAATAAATCCTGGTTACATATTGAAGTCCAGAAACTGTAGAGCGGGAATGGGAACTTGGAAGTCTACAATGTATTCATTATGAAGTTCTGGGGCATTACTCATTGAATGAAATGGACCTCAGTTTCTTTCTCAATCAAGTAGGAGATGCCCAATTAACAGAGAGACATAGACTTGAATTTTATATGTAAAATGGATCATGATGATGATTTAGTTTCTCAGTTACCTACCTGGAATTTCAAAGACTTCTAGACTAGCATAAGCAACATTTGAAAACTTGTCATAGAAATCATGTATTTACCCAAAATGGTGATGGCCAAATTAAAGCACCTCTGTTCTTTCATTATATTATTCTAATGTTCAGCCAAGTTTACACTGGCTATTTAAAATGTCTCTAATTTTTGAAAAAAATCAAAAATCAATAAAAGTCACTTAAATTCAATATATTCTACTGAAAAAGTTTTCTAAATTTAAAAAAAGAATGGGAGAAGGATGGATAATAAAAAGGATTATTTATCTTTTATCCCAAATTAAGAGATAACAGTCTTGTCAAAACTCTCTGTTTTACTAATAAGAATTAAAGAATCAAAGAAACTGAGTGATCTAAGTTCACTCAACTTATATATTTTGAGACTAAGTTTCACTCTTGTTACCCAGGCTGGAACGCAGTGGTGCAATCTCGGCTCACCACAACCTCCTCCTCCCAGGTTCAAGAAATTCTCCTGCCTCAGCCTCCAGAGTAGCTGGGATTACAGGCATGAGCCACTGCGCCTAATCCAATATTTATTGGGGTATATAATAATATAAAGTCTGTGGATGAGTTTTGAGACAGTTCAAAACAACACATTCATTCATTTAAGCTTTTCTTTTTTAATAAACAAATAGCTATACTCTGGCTATAAATTTCACATTTTGCTTATCCTCAGATTATTTTGGGGGTAAGAGCAGCTTTTCCAGTGTGGCTCACAGCTGCCTCAACTTATCAAGTAATTGCTAGTACTTCAAAAGTCAGACGCTTCAACGAGATTCCCCATTAATTCTAGACTTAAGCAGAAAGGACTTGCACAGCTCCTGTGTCAGCACAGTGGCATCATCTTTTGGGTGAAAAACAAGGGAACACATGCATTCTTCTAAGAAATTCTTCAGAATTGTTGACCATATATAATATCTTGAGGCTGAGAGCAAAGGTTCTGGGAGAAGACTCAGTTCAAATCCCAATTCTACCACTAAACTTGTGCAAGTAACATATCCCCTCCATCTTCTGATGCATAACACAGCGATAAATTAATGCATACCAAATACCAAACTATATATAGCACACAGCAAATATTCAATTCATGTTAATAGCTATCATTAAAACAGTGGCTAGCTGGTAACTTGCTACGAGGAAGCCTGTGTCTTTGTTTAACCAGGAATTATTCCTGCCATTTGCTTTTAGAATGTTTCAGAGCTCTAGAGAATGTGCCCCTCGTTGCTGAGTTTGATGTTGAACAATACATTCCAGGGGGCTGTATCCTGAATCTGTTATAGGGTGAGTCCTCTCTCTGTATCTTGAACGCAACAGAATTTTGTAATGGCTGTTCAGCCAGAGCTCCTGGGGCACTGAAAACTCAACATGGTCTCTTCACCCCAGAACCTTAGTTTAGTGCTGAGCATGTACCAAGCGTTGTGCCCCGGTGTGTAGGAGGACATCCCCCTGTCACATCAGCCAGGGATGGCTTTACATTTAAGTCACATGTCTTGGCTTGGAGCTTTCACCAGTTCAATTTCTGGGACCCCCGAGCTTCCCACAGCTCCTTTGCAATGGGTCTGTCTTGTTGGTTGACACCTCTCTGGCCACTTGACTCATGCTGTCCCCTGCTGGGGTCAGACCCAAAGTGATTGCCATGTCTCCCCTCACTGTAGTCCATCTGGCACTCCCTGCTCAACGCTGCCACCACCATGTTCAGACAGCCACTCCTGTTGTCATTGTTGACTGCACATCAATCCACAGATATTGTGGGTTGTGATGAACAGCAAGGCAGAAGAGACCACCAGGGAAATGAAAGCTGCTGAAGAGCCCCTGGAGTCTACACCCTGAAAGCTGAGCTTGCCAAGTATAAATGTGGATTAGCTTAATAACCCTGGGATGACCACACTCCAAGCAAACTGAGATGGAAAAATCAGATCATTCATGTGTCCATTCACCATGTGCGATTGTTACAGAGGCTGCAATTTACTTTAACAAACTTAAAGCAAAGCTAGTGTAATGTTTTGAATGTGCTGATGAGTTCAAGCTTCATTCTAGGGTTGCCCCAAAAGACAAACCACACTCTAGGGTGGTCTGCTTACCTGCATCAGAAAGACTACATTCCAGTGTGGGCCACCACAAGAATGTCGCTAGTCCATACCTTGGTCAATACCTGAGGCTTTGCTAATAAGCAGAGTGAATGTTATAAATGGAATTTCAATTGATTAAAGTAGACTTCTTGGAATAGGACGACGGATGTTGGAAACTGGTAAAAAGTAAATCATAGCTGAGAAATGTGGATTGATTAAAATATTTAAAGACCCTCCCAGCTCTTACAGCAACAGGGTGTAAGGATCTAAGGAGGCCTGTAGCCCTTTTCCTGAGGGATAGTGCACAAGGCAAGTTCCTAAATAGTCCTGTGTGAACAGCCATGATCTTGGAGGGTTCTCCTTGCAAGTTGCTAGCCATGGGAGTACAGAAGCCTGCCTCTGGAACCCAGGGAAAGTGCCTCTGGTGAACACAGCTTTCACACAAGTTATGGACAGACAGCTGGAACCTCATCAAGCTTCCAGAACAGCTTCCATGAGCCACTTTTGTGCTTGGTCGTTAATAAATGCTCAGTGAATAAGTGGCTGTCTCTGTGGCAGCAGGGCTGAGACAGTAATGAGCCCAGTGAGGTGTTTGCCACAGGGGCAAAATTTAAAAGGGCACCAAAGCAAATATTTTAATGCAATTTTAAAAAATCTATGATGAACAAAATACCCAGTTTTAAATAAAGACAGGCTGTTGATGTTTGTTGTATAACCCAGCATTATTGTGCATCAAGAACAGTTGTTTCCACTCAGCCAGAGATTCCAGGACCCCTGCCTGGGGCCACCTCCACCGGGCAGGTTTATGAAGGCTGAACATGGTAAAAACAGATCAAGCAACATGGGTGGGCATTAAGCAGTCATGGTTTTTTATTAGAGCTTTTATTAGTTTTTCATTTTAATATAATACATATTTATAGATCATCTATTTTTATAATCGGTTATATAATATATAATGCATATTTATAATGTATAATACATATAATTATAGAAGATAATATACAAGGCTGGGCATGGTGGCTCACACCTATAATCCCCCCACTTTGGGAGGCCAAGGTGGGTGGATTACCTGAGGTCAGGAGTTTAAGACCAGCCTGACCAACACGGTGAAACCCCATCGCTACTAAAAATACAAAAATTAACCAGGCATGGTGGTGGGTGCCTGTAATCCCAGCTACTCGGGAAGCTGAGGTGGGAGAATCGCTTGAACCCAGGAGGCAGAGGTTGCAGTGAGCCAAGATCACACCACTGCACTCCAGCCTGGGCAACAGAGTGAGACTCAATCTCAAAAAAAAAAAGAAAGAAAAAAGAAGATAATATATACTCATAATATAATGATATATTTAAGACTCCATCTCAAAAAAAAGATAATTATACTAATGATATAATGATATAAATATTTGAGACTCCATCTCAAAAAAAAGAAAAAGAAGACAATATATACTAATGATGTAACGATATAAATATTAACTATTAATAAAGGTACACAGAGGCACACATATTCCTTTTGCTTAGGCCCCAGCGTGGCTGGACACCATATGGTGTGGTGGAATTTCACCTGAGACTCACTCCCCTCATAACCTGGTAATGAAGTTGGGCTTGTTGGGAGAGTTTGCAGCAGTGTCACATTTTCCTGGTGACCTATATGCTGGCCTCCCTCCCTCTTCATGGCACCTGCTTTCCCAGGATCAAGGTCCCTGGGAACATAACTTAAGAGTTAGGTTTCTGGGCAGCGTGAAATTATACCAAAGAACGGAAAATATATGGATGCCTGAGCCATGCCCTGAGTGTTTGTGTCCCCCAAAAATTCATGTTAAAGCCCTAATCCCCAGCAGATATTTAAAGATGGGGCCTTGGGGAGGTGATCAGGTCTTGAGGGTGGAGCCCTCATGATAGGATTAGTGTCTGCATTAGACAGTTCTCATACTGCTGTAAGACATACCTGAGACTGGGTAATTTACAAAGAAAAGAGGTTTAATTAACTCACAGTTCCACAGGCTGTACAGGAGGCATGGCTAGGGAGGTCTCAGGAAACATACAATTATGGTGGAAGGTGAAGGAGAAGCCAGCACATCTTACATGGTGAGAGCAGGAGGAAGGGAAAGAGCGAATGCAGAGGCGCTACGCACTTTCAAACAATCAGATCTTGTGAGAACTCTATCACGAGATAGTACTAAGGGGATGGGGCTAAACCATTAGAAATCACCCCCGTGATCCAATCACCTCCCACCAGGCCCTACCTCCAACACTCAGGATCATCATTTAGCATGAGAGTTGGGTGGTGACACAGAGCAGAGGCATATCAGTGTCCTACTAACAAGAGACACAAGAACTTGCCTCTTCTCTTTGCCCTCTGCCCTGTGCAGATACAACAAGAAGACGGTTTTCCATGAACCAGGAGGCAGCCGTCACCAGGTACTAGATCTGCAACATCTTCATCTTGGACTTCCCAGCCTCCAGAACTGTGAGAAATAAATGTTTGTTGTTTAAGCCATCCAGTCTGTGGAACTTTGTTATAATAGCCCAAATGGACTAACATAGTATGTATGTACGTGTGTGTGTGTGTGTGTGTGTGTGTGTGTACATGTGTGTGTTTCTTAACTACTTTCTATTTGTTCAAAACATAATATTGGGGGATACTTTAAATTTGTTTAATTATAGAAAAGCATCAATAACAGTAAAAATATTTTAAGAGTCACTCATAATCTTACTACACACACATACACACATATCAAAGAAGAAACTGTCTTAAGAGATTTCCAGAAGTGTCAGTCAAGAAAGAACTTCCAATACATGGAAACATAAAATTTTGGGGGAATTCCTAGTAGCATTTGAGATGCATCTTGATGGACAGATTGCTAGGACAGATTGTTGAGGGAGTAAGGCAAGTTGCAGAATGATAAGTGCAGTTTGATACTACGTACGGTGTGATACTATTTTCGTCATAGACACACCTACACACAAGACAAGTCACACCACACATTCTCTGTAAGTGCATGTGTGTGTACATGAAGGCACAGAAAGGGTGTGGAAGGCACCCCTCCAGCCAAGAATGATGCTGATCTCTCAGAAGCAGCAGGAGGGGATGAGATTGGGTAGGGGCCTGGTCAAAGAATTTCCATCTATATAATGTTTCAATACTTTA